TTCTTCTTCCCTTTGAATTATTTTGGTCGTGCTCTATTTGTGCCAAATTGAAGAGTTTCCAGATTTGTCCCTGTTTCTTTTCAATCCTACGAGGCCCAAAAACAGGCCTCTGACTAACTGTATTTTGAGATTCTATTGATTTTTCTAGATTAGCTAATGAGCCATTACAACACACATCTTTTGAAGCTATTGTGAATCTGCGGAGAGTTTTCCATTGTGTAAACTAAATTCACGTGTCATTTCTGTTCGTGGCACACGGAGCAGCATAAATAAAGTGCAATTTGATGAGTGCCCAAGTTATCAAAGAGAGAACTATTATGTATCTTGTTGTATAATACTTAATAGTCCCCTCATATATATTGTTTTGTAATGGTGAATTCCATATGAGAGAGAAGGCTGTAATGGTGAGAGAGAGAGGCCAAGAATAACAATGTACAAGATACTCCCGCAATTTTAAAATGCCATAATAGCTTAACTATTTTACTAAATACATCTTCTTGATACTTATTTGACTGGAAGTACAGATGTATTTTCATTTTTCCTTAGATATGGTTGTTTGCAAGCCTCGCTATTGTGAATTATGTTGGATGCACAAAGCCACCTGCTGATGCTACGACCGTGAGGTTCATTTTTGGGATCTGCTAAATTCTTACCTGATGGCAATGCATGTTTCCTCTTATTGCAGCATCCAAGACATTCTTGACGCTATGAAAGGTATGCTCTCCTATAAATTAGACTCAATATATATGATTATCTTGCATTACACCTTGGTTTAATATACAGGAATGCACTTGCAATCCAATTAGCTAGCTCTATTCAATATATTTGTTTAAATTTTACTATTCTTTCTACGATTTTATGGTCAGTACTCAAATACATTAATTTCTGCGATAGTATTCTAAAGTTGAATAGCTTTATAATTGACGGATTTTAATTTCCAGTAGCAAAATACATGGTCCTTAGGTCTGTTTACAGGACTAAAAGCTTACCTTCATTCTTATTATGTTTTTTTGGAATAACTTATGATTTATCACCTGATAATCACAAGCTTTAGGGTACTATTTTTTTTAACAATATATTGCCAGATTCTGAGTGACTTACAAAGCATGAGAAAGTAGTTGACTCAAAATGTCAAATCCAGATATGAGAGAGTTGTTTTTGAGATGCACTGGTTTTTATAGACTCAGTTAATTGTATTGTGGTTGAAACAATGCATTTGGTCTTGCTCAGAGCTAATTATTTATACATTTCATTGTAATAACTTTCAGTTCAACTATTGGGCACTGTGCTGTTATGCATATATTGTTATTTTCCATCTCTACCTTACCTTAATGTTTATTGATGAAGATGGTTTTTGTTATTTCATTCCACCGAATGCATTTAGAGATTATTTATAGCAAAGTACTTCACCTATTTTTTCCTCTATGGATCTTCAGGCACTTGGAAGAAATTTCATCGGGCCTTCTTTTTCTGAGTTGGTTTGGTTGGAATGCTGTTAGATGGTTCATCAACTCTTTGTTATGCCCAGGTAGGTTGTTCATTTGCCTGATCCATTCTAATTATGGGTTGTTTGGATGTCTTAACTATGTGTTTTTAAATTCACAAGATTAAAGCTTCATTGGGAGCTATTATGCATTTTAATTTGGAATTTCATTTGTAATTCCCCTGGTTAATAATAAGTCTCCCAAACATGGATGTTAATAATTTGGTGGAGTAGGGGTGCACGCACCACCAAAGCCACAACCAGGCACATCAGTTTCCTCCTCAGCCCATGGCCAAGGCCATTTTGTTCAGATGCGAGACTCTGTCCAACCCATATTGGATTGAACTGTTGCGAGTAGAACCAAATGGTAGCAGACTTGCCTGGCATAGCCCAGGCTGGCCGGTAGTCTTGCCTGGCACTATTTCCAATCTCCCACAACAGTCCAAGCTCAGTTTGTTTTGCTGACTTTATACCTTATCCTTACATAAGTTCTTTTACAAGTGAAGAAACATTTTCATATGCCAAACTGATTGAGTTTCAGTATCCTGAATCCTAAGTCAATGAAGCTGAAATTTTGATATTATACCATGTTTTAATTTTATCTTCTGTGTTCCTATTATCTGTGCAACTAACATATTTGTATCAGTTATTAGGATGTAAGGGACCTTACTTATCATCGATCAATGTAGGTGGCTACAATGTTAGGCAGGATGATGGTGTCACAGCTGGTGAAGCCCCATTGACAAGTTACGTTTATTCAAGTGGGTGCTTGTGGTGGCGGGCAGGATTTATGTTTCAGGATTTCTATCGTCGGATTTCCTACCTTTGTTGTGGTTCATTTCAGGCATTGGAGATATGGAGGAAGGTGGGTCAGATTGCATAGCTAGGGAAGGAGATAATCAGAACACTTCTCCCCTGGTGCTGATTAATTCCATCCTTAAATATCATGGTATTCTAAGGTATCTACGAATCTGTACAGAGCTGTGGGTGTAAAGCAACCTCGCAATAATTTGTGAACTATGCATGGGCCAAAACCGGAGTTGAACAATATCAACTAGTTAGCACTTCAGGTGTCCCGTCTGTTGTTTAACATTCTACTTCAATGAGATCTCAAAGATATATTTACATGTAGTTTCTTTTTTTATACTCTTTTGCCTAGAAAAAATTGAGGCTCCCCGTAGCAACGCACGGGCATCAGCACGTCATGATAAAGGCTGAGATTGGGTTTGCAAAAGGTGAAACAAGGACTCCAGTGAAATACGGGCAGGAATTTCATGATAAATTTGACTTTGCCCAAAGATAAAGAGGTCCAGTTAAATTACGGTGAGAATTATGTGTTGCAATCAGATATGAAGCGTTTATTTTCTACTTATAGCAACACTGTATGACAGGTCAGCATTACAATATAAATGCAACAATCATAACAAGGAAAACCATAGGTAACTTGCATGCAGGCCCTCATAGAGCCATACCTTCTGGAAGTTCTGGCTGCTCAAATGGAGTACACAATGTTTTTACAGCTCCGAGTTCTCCTTTAGTCTGAGCTTTCACATCTTTCTTAACTTCCTGTATGGGAAAAAGAAATTTACAGACATTGCAGGCGGAAGTACAATAGAACTGGTAGGTATATTGCTTTCTAGCGCGGGTTTAATTGGAGAGCATTGATGTATCTGTTTATCACCCAAAAAATGATTGATTCTTATGCATTGACTTACTGCAGGTGTGTGGGTGCTTTGCTGTAGGTCAGCACAGTCATCAGCATGCTGTGGTGGCGAGCTTGTTTGTAATGTGTGAGGGGGGGGGGGTGGCAAGACTGGTATGACAGAGTTGAAAGTATATGGAGCAGGTAGCTGGACCAAGGTATATAGTTTATCTGGTGGAATTTCCAAATTCTTACTACTTTACAGTTAGTATCTTTATGTGCCAGAAAGCTATAGAAGGAAGGGCGTTTGCAGCTTTAGTCTGCTGAGGTAGCAGCAAGAGTTCTCAATAAGCTTTAATCTGCTTATGACAGCTATATGAATAAAAGATTAAAGCTTATAGGAACCAGATTCGAAGCCATAGGATGGCAAAATAGCTGCAAACTTACAATATTGTTATCTTATAGTGCGATCTATGTGTTTTTAGTATAAAAGTTTAGTTGTCCCGTAGCAACGCACGTGCACGCTACCTAGTGACTAAATATTTTGAAGATGCTTATAAGGGTTTCATGTGGTGACTTGTATTTCAGAGGTAGGTCGTATAGGGTATGTGCACGTTGAGTGTGCATGAATGTTTGCGTCTATACTGTATTTCGCAAAAAAAAAACTCAAATGCATGTTATTGTAGGAATTATTCCCTCGTATCATTAAAACATGTCGTTTATGACAACACTCAGCGATCAAACTTGTAAAACTACAAGCATCAATATTTTAAAAATATAGGTTATGTGTGTAGAATTGTATTCAAAATACATGCAAAATATCAAAATTTTAAAGGATATTAAGTTACACATTCCACAAGAAAGTAACTGAAACAATCGATTCCAGGAGTGAGCAAAAATCAAATATAATAAATATTTTTATTTACTTGGGGAGTGTTATTGTTTTTCTTTTCTATTACACCAGTTCTGTGTTCTCTCAAGCTAGAATTTTATGAGACATAGACATTAAGTGTTCTTTGATACTTCTGACTAATAAAAATATACTTAAATGAATTGTACATATTTTCTTTCGGTCCATTTTCAAACACAATAAGACATAGGCATAATAATAGATACTATATAGTCTCTATATAGTTATAATAATAGACACAATAAAACATTATGTTCGCACACAAGTTTTTTTTCATAATAGTGATCAAATGTTAAATGACGTGTATATCAGTGACTTCAAAATTATTTAATTTTCGAACTTGTAAATTATATGTGATGATTTGGATTCAAAAATATTAAAATGGAAAATCCTATAAATTCAAAAGGACTTGTTTTGAAAGAAAATAATGGTCAAATATATGAATCGAACAGTGAGCAAAGTCAAATATGATAGAGTCTTTTTAATCAAAGATTTATTTTCAAGTTACGCGACCGTGCCAAATTGAGGGGAGGATAACCTTGGGGACAAAATTTTATTTCCATCTACATCAGAGAACCATCTAAAATACTAACACGTCGACGGGTACAAATCGATGAAAACACAAAAGGGGAGTTCAATACATAACAGAGCAACACTGAGGATCCTATGCGGTCTTGGAAAGAAATGTATAGTCAATTCTTCCTTTATATATACCTTTTCTTTACATATGCGGTGCCTATACTATACAGAACAAAATACTTCAACAATAATTCACTGTGAATTTCGTGATTCAACTAAACAACTCGAGCAGTCAGCAATCGCAGATCACCATAGTTTACACTACCAATTTTATTTATTTATATACACCAGCAGTCCAGCTTTCGGTTCTGTCGTACGTCCAAAGCAGTATCGCCTTCAAGAAACGAGGAAACATGGCTACTAGCTGAAGAACAACTTCACATAGTTCACACTAATTGGTCCGGCAGCGGTGCGAATACGTCGCACCGGCAGACTGGACATGTGGAGTGGTTGCGTAGCCACAGGTCAATGCACTCCTGGTGGAACTTGTGCAGGCACACCGGCAGCCGCTTGACCATCTCCCCTTTCTCCACGGCGCCAAGGCACACCGCGCAGTCCGGCGAGCCGTCAGGCCGCTCGCCGTCCGGCTGCTCGTACGCCGGGATGTCGGCAGCCACCCGTGCTCTGCTACCAGCCGGTGGCTCCCGGGGAAGCACGCCGCCGATGCTGTAGCCTTGGTGATGACTCTGCACAATAAACTGCGGCGGCAAGGCACCGCCCTCGTCGTTGCCGCCACCGCTCATCAGGCGACGCCGCGCGGCGCGCGCGCACCACCTGCAGGGCAAGCAGAGCAGCCAGAGGACCGCGCTGAGCGGCGGCTCCAGGCACCGCCCCAGCGCGGACCAGGGGAAGAGCGAGCCGCAGAAGGCCGGGTAGATGATGGCGTTGACGCCCAGCCAGAAGACGAGGAAGATGGACACCACCACGATGCCGCCAGTGCTGTGCGGCGTCCGCGCGAGCTTCACGAGCGCGTAGACGAGGAAGCCCGTACCGCCGACGCACACCATGTTGGCGATGGCCAGCCCGTACACGCGGAGGTAGCAATCCATGGCGCCCGCGAGATCGATCGACTTGCCTCTGGCCGATCGAGCTAGATGATTCACAGCTCGCGCGCGCGGCAGCCAGCTTCAATTCACCGATGCACCGTAGGGCATGGTATGATAAGATGACTGGATTAGTAAACAGCACAGAAGTTCATCGGGAATTTACGAGGTCATTGCTAGTTCGTGCCCGCGGAATGGCAACACGGAGAGATGATCGAAGTCGAAGCTGCGTGGTACTTCTGGGCTTCAAGTCGAAAGTCGTCGGGCAAGAATAGAATCATTATATGATTGGTGTGTTTGATCTGAGAAACTGGACGTTTTCTCGCTTTTTATTTTTTGTTTGGATTTCTTTAAATACACACAGACATCCACAAATGCACACGTATTCACTTGTCCCTATAAATACACACATGTAAACCCTATCCTATAAGTACAGCCAAAAGATTAAGCTAACATATCTATATACATGTCGTTTTTTTACATTTTGGTTTGTAGATTGAAATATGTTGATTGTTACCGCATTGTCCTTTACAAGCTAATAATTAGTATAGTCGTTTTGAATTAAGACATTCATCAAATTTTATTGGATGAATTTATGATGCACACTATCTAATTTAGGATGGATGGTTTCTCAAACCAAATATAGTCTTGCAACAATAATACATACATGCTTCCTCCGTTCTAAATTATAAGTCGCTTTAACTTTTTTGGTACATCAATTTTGATATGCATCTAGATACTCCTTCTGTCCCTTAAAGAATAAATTCCTAGCAACTTTAGGACAGATTAGCAACGAAGATAAAATACCATGCTGCCCTCATTAAACTGCTGAACCTTAATACCTTTCTATTTACCGAGAAGCCTAATTAAATAGTGTCGTTTGGAGTATCTAATAGCAGTGCAGGAGAGAGAGGTTGTGTTAATGTGACCAGGACTACGAGAGAGATTAATGTGGATCTGTGGACCATTCACCTCTAGAAATCGATTATTTTGGAGTCAAATTTTTAGGCTAGAAATTGATCTTTTCAGAGACGGTGGGAGTATAATAATATATCTAAATACATAGCAAGATGAATTAACAAAAAAGTCAAAGCGACTTATAATTTGGAACAGAGGAGTATATCGCATCACCACCGGACCTCAAAACACCATCACTGCAGATTTTGCTCGGTGGTTTACAACAATACATATATCTCATCACCACTGCCGCACCGGGAGAGGGTACGGGCCTCGACGCTGACGGCCAAGAGAAAAGCACGGGATCCTCCTCCACCATGCAGATTCGGCTAGCCTTGCCGATCCAAGGGGACGTTGCATCACTCGTCACCTCGTGTGCCGTGGGTGAGGGAGAGAGGGTATTTGGGAGGGGATTGGGTGAGGGAACTCAAGAGGACAAGAGGATAAGATAAAGAGAATGTGGTGCCTATGACTTAGTATTAAATTCCATGAGTTAGAAATTTCGGGTCTAGGGAAAGGTTTTGACGAGGACATCACTTCTTCAAGTACAAGCTAAGGAGAGGAAGAGGACAGGTGTGGGCGCCCAACTCATCTACACCATGGTTGGGCCTTCATATGGGCCATGGGCCTTGGCCTGGTCAAGCGATTCCTGCTGGACCGCTAGACAACATCTACATTGAGGCTGTAGTAGGAATACTTCTCCTTCCTAAGGCTACTGTTGTCGGATACCATAAAAGGGGATACCCTAAGCAAGAACTGAAAAAAGTCCTTAGGCCTCGCTTATATATGCCAAAGGACGATCACAGGGTCTCGGCCGATTCTCCGACTCGCCCGAGGCCCGCGCCGCAACGATTCTCCGACTCGCCGAGGCCCTCTCGCCCGAGGCCCCGCCCCGCAAGGCCTCGGACGGGTTACCGATTCTCCGATTCGCCCGAGGCCGGCTCGGCAACGACCTCGTCGCCTCCGCCTCGACCGACTTCCCTAACAAAGCGTCGCGTCCAGTTAATGCGCCCAACCACTCCCACAACGTCAGCCACATGACGGCGCAGTACCGCAGAGTGACCGACGGGATGGGAGACAGGCCTGAGCAGGGATTACCTACCATTGTGCTCAGCACTGTACCCATGACTGGCGACCGTACTACACTGTGCTACCTAATACCTGCCCCAGGAACAGCGCGGCGTGGGGAGTCCAGTCCGGGTCACTATAGCCTCAAAATCAGTGTATAGGACCAACTGCTCCCTCTAAGCCTCGGCAATCCACTTCAGGGGCTCGACAGCCTCGGATTCACGCCCGCCGAGCCCCCCGCGACGGCTCGGCCTCGGCACCAACTGAGCCTCGGCTCTTTACACCGTCAACGCACAGCGACCAGCACGTCGTCGGCCATGCCCTGCCCCGGGCTATCACTGGAGCTCCCACGTCGCACAAGATCCGGAGTGACTGACGCATTGCTCCAGTGAATCAAGGACAAGACCACTCCGTTGACCATGCCGCCACAGTAGCAAGCTACAGGGCTCAGGCACGCCGCCTCCGTTTGCAAGACCATTGCATAGCAAACGCATGTATCACCCCGGTCCTCCCTTCAACTATAAAAGGAGAGGCCGGGGCCATTTCTAGACAGGCGCAGACACACACGCATACGCGCTCACACGCACACACAAGCCCACAACGGGAGAAAGTCAGACGAACACTCGCATAGACTCACGCTCCCCCGCTGCCTAAGAGCAACGTCTCAAGCAGCCCGCGCCACTCCACACAGAGACCTGAGACCAGCTCCCTCTCTCGCCCAGCTTGTAACCCCCTACTATAAGCACTTCGGTGTAAGGAATACAAGACTGATCTCTCAGACTGAACGTAGGGCACCGATTGCTTGAACCAGTATACACCTTGTCTCTCTTTGCATCACCATCCGGGATTAGGGGCACGCAATTCAAATTCACTGATTGGTTGAGGACACCCCGGTCCGAAACACCGACAGTTGGTGCGCTAGGTAGGGGATACTGCGTGTTAGCTTAACCGTCCCAACAAGTTCCGGATGGCAGATCCCATACGCCCACTACGTCTCGGCACGGTGATCTGGTTCGGGAGCCTAGAGTTCATGTCTCTAGGACGTGAGTACGACCTAGTACTCCTCCCACCCAGAGCCCCTTTAGCCGACGACGGCATCGCGCACCAGCAGCCCGGGCGCAGGCGACGCCCGGGCCACCGCTCTCGTTGTGCTCGCCATGCACGGCGCGAGCGGAACCACCCTGACACCGCACGACCTCAGGGCGACGCGCCGCGCTCCGCCAGTATCCCATGCTCGGCTGTTGGTACAAGGTCCCTGGTTGGGGACCTGTCTGGCCTAAGCTTGGGTAGGGGAAGGACACCAGTGACGTGCAGTGATGCCCCATCATCAAGTTTCGCACCACCATCGCCTGAGGAGCCAACTCCGGTGGAGCAGGGCCCTGCGATGGCACCGTCTCCGTACCCCTTCAGGTTGAGAAATGCCGCCGCCACCTACGCTTCCGCCTACGCTTCCACTCACATGGAGCCCTCAGGATGCCACCAACGTTTCACCCTTGACTTCTCGACCACAACCTCGGCTCGCACCCACACCGACTCCTCGGAGGAGGACAAGGCATGGGCCGGAGCAGACTTCTCTGGACTTTGCGACCCTCAAGCTATGCGCCTCTTCTTGGCCGCAAGCGACTATTGCTTCGGCTACTCCGACTCCGATGACGAAGGCACTTACGATCCCACTCGAGAGTGCTTCCACATCGGGCTCGGAATGCCAGGGGCAAGTAATGAGAGTGAAGGGGCAGGCAACCGCTCCCCGCTACGCCAAGGGGCAGGCGACGCCACACCTCCGCTCGTCGAGCCTCGGGTAGCACGGAACGTGAACGCCGCCCCCGAGGAACTCCGACGCCTGGACCTGGAGCAGCTCCGTGAGCTCCAGGCAAAAGTCGACCAAGACCGACTCCTGCTGTAGCAGCTCCGAGACACTCTCGAGCAGGAGCAGCGAGGTCACGGCGATGGCGGAAGAGCTCGGCGGAGGGCCCTCGACGTCCACCGCCGCATCAACAACGACGAAGGGAGTGAGCAACCCCCAATCTTCAATCGCGCTAGCTAGAACATCGCGGCAGCAGCGATGCTAGTCCGAGCGATGCCCGAGCCCTCTACCATGGAGGGGCGATGGGTTCGTGGCGAGCTCCGAGACCTTCTCGAGACCGCCGCGGTACAGCAGGCCAAAAGCTCCGCGTCTCGACGACGCGGGGACACCTCGAAACGGCCCTCGGTGCACGATTGCCTCAAGGCCCCCTCAGTGCACGACCGCCTCAGCGACCGACGCGAGGCGCAAGACGACCACGATGTGGTCAGCAGGCGACGACGCCACGACGATGATGGGCCCGCTTGAGGCTACCACCCGCACCGAGGCGGCCGCTATGACAGTGGCGAGGACCACAGTCCTTCTCCTGGGCCGCCTGGCCCTCGAGTCTTCAGCACGGCCATCCGCGGTGCCCCATTCCCCGCCTGGTTTCGACAACCAGCTAACCTCGCAAAGTACAGCGGTGAGACCAACCCCGAGTTGTGGCTGGCCGATTACCGCTTGGCTTGTCAGCTAGGCGGCGCAAACGATGACCTGCTCATCATCCGCAAGCTCCCCTTGTTGCTGTCGGACTCAGCGTGAGCCTGGCTCGAACACCTCCCTCCCTTATAGATCCACAACTGGCGCGACTTGGTAAAGATCTTTGTCGGGAATTTCCAGGGCACATACGTGCGCCCCGGGAACTCCTGGGACCTCAAGAGTTGTCGCCAGAAGCCGAACGAGTCTCTCTGAGACTTCATCCGGTGATTCTCCAAGCAGTGCACCGAGTTGCCCAGCGTCGGCGACTCGGAAGTTGTCCAGGCTTTTCTCTCCGGCACCTCCTGCCGAGACCTGGTCCGAGAGTTAGGCCGAAACGTACCAACCTCTCTCGCGTTTTCCGACAGGTCGATTGTAAAAAAACCTAAGGACCAAAAGCGTGCCTCGACAGCAAAAGGCCGGCCGAGCCGCGAGACTCCAAGGA